GTGTACAACAACAACAAATGGCTGTTTGCATTCTTCGGCATTCTGGGCTCCAGCGTCGCCATCATGCTCATAGTGAGTGTCAACCTCGCACTTCATTCGAACAGGAACCTGAGCTATTTCCAGTACCGAACGCCGTTCATGCGCTGCTCCGGCCAGAAGGATTTGTCCAAGTAAGCACACGATTTGCGATATCCAGTTTCCCATCTGACGACGTGCCTGTGCAGACGTGAGCGTTAGCCTACAGGCCCCTAGCTCCTCACTGGCTAACCGCCCGTCTAGTCCTCGGAGCGAATGGAGCGATTTTCCTCTTCATCGAACTTTTCTCCTTCCTACTTGCCACCTGGAAAGTTTGGCAGCTCACCAAGGATGCCAAGAATAAGACTGATCGCCCAATTACACGCCTGAACAAGCTCATCATGTCCCAAGGTGAGCTCTCTGTTGCCCAGCGTGCAAACCTATCGTCTGATATTCGGAATAGGGCTCTATTATATTGGGTATGTCGACCGATGGTCCAGCTGCGGCCGCTCAGTGCTGACTTGCGACGTAGGGGGGTTTCGATCCTTTCGGTCGCAGTTTTGATTCTGAACTTCGTGAGTACCTCAGTGATGCGAGCGGATTGAACCAAGAGCTTACCAAAAACGACGAAACAGAAATGGAAAACCGGATACCTTTCTCGCCTCCTCAACGGTTTGAAGCTTCCGTGCGTCTCTCACTCATCCCCCTGTTTTCTCTTGCTCATCATTAGCTACTAGGCTCTCCGGTTTCCTCACCGCGCGCTTCATGCTCCGCCTCCGTGCCTGGGACAAAGCCGGTGTGCACGTCAGCGGCAAGAGCCATCCAACAACAGGCGTCAGCGACACTGTTCACACCATGCAATTCCACGAACGCAACTCGTTCTTCGACGAGTGGAAGGGTGACATTGGACCTGCTCGCGACGCGCCAAGTGAATCCGACCTGTCAACCAAAGCTGAATCATCCTCGGGTAGGGTTCACGAGATCTTGAAGCCGACCGGTTCGCATACTTCTGATCCCATTGAGATGGATGACGGGAAGAGCTGGGGGACGCGACATGGATCTGAGGGCAGGGTTTGAACGAGCAAAGTAACGGGTTTGGGTTGGCAAGCATTTTATATTCCTTTCGACTATTTATTGGACTCTCTTCTACCGGAATGAGATAGTGTATCTGTACGAATAGGAATAGTCAATACAGGCGCAACGTGTACAATATCGATTGACGCACCATAGCGGCTCATCTCCACCTCTCCCTTAAATTCCCTTACATGAGGACCCCCTTGAACGCTTCCAAGCACTGCAAGACGATCTCTCGATTCTCCAACGACCTCATGCCCTGCTCCTTGTACGACTCTGGATTCGGCACAGGGGGGATGAACCGATGCACGAGCATCTGGTCAGGCGGGTACTTGTTCGACGCCAGGGCATCCATTAAAGCCTGGGTGACAGGTACCCTGTAAAATACCGGCGCTGTGCCATACATGATGATGGCGGCGACATAGCGTCCTATCCAAACTGGTTGCCCATTCTGGATTCGTCGTTGGTTGCTCTGGTGGAATGCTGCGATGGCTTGAGCGACCATACGGGGCTCTGGGTTGTCTGAGAGGAATGTGGACTGAGGGGGCGAGTCAGCTATAGAAGTAGACAAGAGCAGACCACTCACCCGACACTCGTGAACCACTAGAAAGACGTCGACGTTGTTCATAACACACACGTCGATACTGGCTGTAACCTCTTTGTGCTTGCCAACGGGGAAAGAAATCTCAACGTTCTGGCAGACCACACGATCAGGTGCATCGAAGTTCAGTAGCTGCAGAACGAACGCTGCAAAGTCATTGACTCTCGACGCCGTCCATTCGCTGCCAGACATCCCGACGAGCTGCATGTAGTCGTAGAAGAGTCGTGCCTCCTTCTTCAGGTCGCTTTGAGGCTTCTCCTCATTGTCCAGGACGACGTCTGGGATGGATTGAAGGCTCATGGATGATACATCGGTTTCGTTGAAGAAAGTTGATTCAGCTGTGTCGACGACATGGATATTGTAGGTGACAAATTCTCCTTCTGTCCAGTCACTGGATTTCGCGGGGGCTGACTCGTTGGTCAGTCAGGGGAATTATGGCTAAGCGGAAGATACACACCTGCCATACAAAAAAGTATTGCTATTGTATATCAAGACCATAAGATCCAAGGGAAAGGTCGGTGGATTCTGTTCCATCCCTATGGCCGTGGAGTGCCTGTTCCGGTTAGAACCAGACGTCATCGAGGAATGAGCCCAGCCCTTCGCCACAGGTTAACCGCGGCCCACCGCTACAAGTAGAATTTAGGCTTTGCAGACGAAAGCAGGAATATCACCCCATTGTGTTGCGGTGGGAGGGTTCGGAAGATGGGAGGTGTGCTGAACACAGGATTCCGACAAACCGTAAAACACGAATGAATAATGCCGGTACGGGGCTGCCGAAATCCCACGCCTAGTAGTCCCGCACCCATATGTTTCGGGCGCTAATCCTTGCCCCTTTCCACGTCAAAGTTTCAAAACACACGCCCATTTGATGTCCCGCAAGTGTTATTGCTCCCTGGTCAGCAGTGCAGTGACTAATGCGTATATATAACCCAGGGATCTCAAGCTGGCCCATTGCCACCGATGTTCACCTAGAATTCCCCACTGTCGCAAGCAGGCTCTTCGACTAGATATGAGCTCGTGCCCCATCTCTCTCGGGAAGGCGGCCACCTGCGTAGATGCGGTAAAGTTATCGCGGTAAGCCCCTTGGCTCCTGTTCATGTGAATGGAACTGACTATACGCCTCCCAGGTTAGAATTTACGATCCAATTCTGTAGCATATGTGAGTGGGCAACCCACCTGTCACAGACATTATGCTGACCCTCCTCTTCCCAAATCCATAGCACTTCTATATTTCGATTATATCCTGTCCTTGAAAGACGAAATTCAGTACGTCTGGCACCAGCGCTGGCGTCTAACCACCCTGTTCTACATCTTCTGTCGATATTCCCTCATATCCAACGTCCTCTACGTCCTTGCTATCTCAGAAGACGTACATCTTGAGGTAAGTCAATCATATCCATTACCGTAGATTCACGGATCTCACCATGTGCAACGACAACCGCAGTAGGTCCCAACCCTCGGGTATCATGGTCTCGCCAGGCTAACTCCGTGTGCCTTCTCAAAGTTGCAGCATCGGATATATCATCTGCGGTTCACTCAGCATTTTGGGCCACATCGGCGTTATATGTAGGTCCGCGCGAATCTCTCTGAACCCGTCAATGACAACTTCTCGAAGCAATATGGACTCTACGAACATCCGCGGTATACGACGGTAACCGATGGGTGCTTGGCTTGCTGGGATCCATGGGCGCCGTTGTGGTGATACTTTTGATCGTGAGTGGCCGTCATCCTCAAACTGTTCGAGAATCAGAGCTAAGATGCCTTCATCAAAGGTTCGAACACCATTTCTCAGATGCTCCGGTGAACGAGATATGTCGATGTGAGTCGCGTTCCGCTTCTGGTTCATCGCGCTGGTTTTGATGACTGTTTTGGTCTAGTCGTGAGCTTCTCTGCACTGCTCGAGTTCCTGCCACGACCTGAAACAGAACCTAGTTCTGGGAGCAAATCTAGCATTGCTTACGTCTCTGGAAGTGATTTCATTCCTCCTGGCGGCTTATCGCGTCTGGAATACGATGAAGGAGAGTCGAAAGGAATCAGAAGGCAAAGTGATGACCCTCAATAAGGTCATTTTCGACCAAGGTGAGCCATCCATCTGCTACCAACCCTCCGATTCTGATGTTTGTGCATTCCAGGTATCCTCTACATCTTGTAGGCGCCAAATTGCCGTCCTCTGTGACTGAGAAGACTCACTATCCGCCAGTGCTGTGGTGCTCCTACATACCATATCCTTGGTTGTGAACTTTGTAGGTGACACACCGCTGAAACGATCATGGCCATCTTTGATTGACGCTGCCAACAGAAAGAACGAACAGGATTCCTTTCACGTCTCCTCAATGGCCTCAAACTCCCGTTCGTCTGGTCCTCCAGCCATCTTCTCTGCACCATCTCTAACCATCTCTCGTGAACAATTGTGTACTTGTAGACTCACGGGTGCCCTCTCCGCCCGTTTCATGCTTCGGCTCAGAGCTTGCGACGTTCGCAAGCGTCTAAACCCCGACTTGTCATTCATCGACCGCGCCTTACCACCACTCGAACAGCAATCCATCCTCGAGGAATTCCAGAGTGACATTGGGGTCTCCGCGTTCGACGACGATGTCGACCTCGATGGGATCTCGACCCCGGCCACCGTTGATACAGGGTCAGGCGAAGAGAGTGTCAGCAGCAGACGTGGTTCTGATGTAGCCACCGAAAACTTTGTTGAAGGATCCAGCACCGGGCCAGCAACCGCCGACCCCAGGAAACTGAAGCAACGAAGGCAGGGAGTACCACCCGATCTCGAGGAAGGCCTATACTCCCCGCGTACGTTTCTAGCTCATGCCTGGCACACAATCATCACGCTTACATGCTACTTTCCCTCTAGCTGCAAGCGCTAGTTGCATCACGATATAGCATCCCAGTTGGCTTTCCGAGTTTGAGGACAGTTATGGCTGAACCACAACGCAAGCACGAGGGAGAGTCTCCCGCGACCTCTCGGCACCCCGCGCTGCGTTTTACCGCTGCGATGCGGTGCGATGGAATGTGTAGAGGTTGGGAGCACTCGCCACGTAGAAGGCGGGATAGATCCGAATAAGCCTCGGAATTCGTGTTGCATGAGAGTAGCGGCAGCATTCCCTACCAAGGGTCTTCTCGTGTATATTAAATGATACAAATGTAAAGCTGGATAATATCATTGCAGTTGCCCTTCCTTTCTGACAGAGCCAGTGTGAGGGGCAACAAGTGCCACAAAACTGTCGGGTGCATGGAAGCTGTGTGTCGAAAAGGTATCTATCCTGCATGCCAACGCGGAAGAAATATCCAAAAAGAAATTATTAGCCCACCGCGAGGGTCGAACTCGCAGCCTTCAGATCACGTAATAGTGAATGGGTAACCCACCTAGACTAAGAGTCTGACGCTCTATCCGATTGAGCTAGGCGGGCTTGGGGAAAGGGACACTACAAAAGATTATATTGCTTGGGCTCTTCCTTCATCATCCATAATTATGAGGCGCGTGGCCTTCATTCAATCCCTTCCCCCACCTCTGCAGTGATCCCTTAGACGCTTATCGTCAGTGAACTCAGCGGAAGCTGCTCGCAAAAAATGGAGGCATAAATTCTTCCGCTGCCCTGATAAACGCCTTCCCGCTTCGCCTCACAGCTCAGACAATATTCCGTTTTGAGAAACCTCAAAAACGATGTGCTCTCCAGGCGTTGCCGCGTTCAATCCGTAGTAGGTCACACGACTGGCGCCCGATTTCCTAGGCTGAAGATCCGCGTAGTCCTCATCCACGGCTGGTTATGAGTTTACGATTGAAGTCCCTCTTGCTTGCTTCCTGCAATTCCAACGATCTGCCGAGGTCAGCGGCCGCGAAACAGCACCAATGAAGCAGAGCTAACAGATTAGAATCCTGCCAAAACCCCAAGAGCGGGGGCAACAGCGCCCATTTGTTGCTCACTTGTTGTTCGCGCTTCGTGGTGGGACCTCCTTTCCTAGGATTGGCTGCGCCCACAACCCTTGGCTGCTAGTAAGTGAGCGAGGATGATTGGAAACACATCCCAAGGAGGTACAAAGCCCATGTGTGTACTAGTAAACCTAACTCGACCCTTGCGGAATCCCTTCCTCGGGAGAAGGGCGATGATGACAGCCAGAGAAACCCGGATGAAGTGATGGTATCTTCATTCACAGGAATCACAGCACCCCAGAACCCCATCAACCCCCATAGGGTCGACCTCGAACCACTTCCACCACTTATCTCGTCATTTCGGTCCAAATGCTTACACCTCCACTTTCCTTACTCTCATCGGATCTCATCGACGAAATTGTCGACTGGGTCGCTGTTTTATGCTACCTGGAACGTATCCGCACCCTTCTGAAAGTTGATAGGGAATTCGGATCTCGCTGCCGATCTCACATCTTTCGAGAGCTTAGGGTGAGAGTGGGGAGGTTCGGGACAATCCCTACTCTACGGAGGCTACTCGAAACGAACCCTCACATTGTTCCCCTCGTTCGGGAGATGCAGTTCATTTTCCAGAATCAAGTGAACTTGTGGCCAACGACACCAGACCTTGATTTGGGCCTTCTCACCCATTCCCTGGCCAAAAGTCCCAACCCACCGTCATCTCTGGTAATCTGGGTTTCTTATAACACGGAGGTCAAGATTGATAACCCAGAGGGCCTGACGCAATGGCTTGCAACGTCTTTCTTCTCTTCAACTCTCCTCAAATTGGACTTGTCCAGCATTACGAACTTTCCCATTGAGGCGATTCGGGCATGCATCGCTCTTCGGTCGCTGAAGGTCTTTTCAGTGAAAATCAGCACCTCAAGAAAGCCATTAAATTCCGGAATTGAAGGTTGTCGCACTCCCGAGTTGGAGGCCTTTGACTTTGAAAAATCCCAACATTTGGTTCAAAGACTTACAGAGGATAGCCACGCAGGTCCTCAACATGCGTCCCTCAAGAAGTTCAAGGTTTTGAAAGCCTGTCTTGAAGACAAGGTGCACATGCTACTGCTCCAACCCATCCTCGACCAAGCCCAAGAAGCGTTGGAAGAGCTTCAACTCCGCGCGTACAAGGTAACATCGCGACAAGGTGAGGCCACACTTGGATTACTTTATGATTTGGCGTTTAATTGAGCCCAGCAGCCCCCTCGGATTTTCTCAATCTCCAAAACACCCCACAACTCCAGCGGTTAGGGCTCAGCGCAACGCTTGCAATGTGGAACAGGCCACTGACAATCGTATCGGACATCGTTCGGATGCTATCTACCGTGCCGACTAACAGCAATACTCTCGAGACCGCCGACTTCGAGTTCACTGCATACGAGGCGCCTCCATACTATGGTACCCAAAATCAAGATTGGACATCACTTGCAACAGAAATTGCCCGAATTTCGTCAGGGAGGAGCATGAAGTTCGAGGTCAGGTTGAAGACAGTTGGAAACGATGACCAAAGGAAAGACTTAGTGCCTTACATCGAGAACGATATACGTCAATCACTTAATATGTTCCCATACGTCGAGCTTCGGCTCGAATCAGAGCCATTGTAGATGCCTGGAATCAATGACAGAGTCGGAACCCCCTTGTGCTTCCCCCATAACCCTGCACCCTGCTGGTGTTGCGATAATCCATCAAAGAAGCTGCGAGGGTAATGGCGCCGTCGCGTTCCATGGCGGGCCCTCTTTCATTGTGGCCTTTCCTAATTTTCGATGGTCGAATAGAACGCACAGCGATTCAACCCTGTGAATCGAACACAATTTGTCACATTCATTGCAGTCTACACGTTTGGTCTACGGAGGGCTGCGGGTCGTTTTATTTCCAGCTCAGTAAAGCGAACAAGTATGTTCTTCAATCAATAGACGAAAACGCTAAGGCGTTCGTCGCTCCAGTCTCCGGACTTGACTATATCCAGCTAAGATCTGGGAGAGCGTTTACATACTTCGGCACAGTAGCTTCAAAAATTCACCAAAAGCGAACACACATATATCTTCGTCTCAGCTATCTTCTACCCAAGCCATTTGGCTTAAGCGGAAACACGGTATCGATAATAGAGAAGACCATGCTTGCTCATGTGTATGGACGGTCGGTTTAGAACCTGGATGATCCGCAATTAAACTGAGGTACATAGGATATGTGCATCGAATCTGCATATCGGTCCTTCTCTCTTGCATGCATGCAGGACTCGCCACAGCCAAAGAATCTCTGGAATGATGGATAGCGGTGATGGTATCGCATGGCCAAGCGTAGCTTTGATCTTGAACCACTCCCACCACCTATCTCGTCATTTCTACGGTCCAATGCTTACACCCCCGCTTTCTATACTCTCATCGGATCTTATCGACGAAATTGTCAACTGGGTCGCTGTTTTAGGCTCCTCGGAAGGTATATGCGCCCTTCTGCAAGTTGATAGGGAATTTGGACCTCGCTGTCGGGTTCACATCTTTCGCGCGCTTAGGGTGAGAGTCGGGAGGTTCGGGAGAGTTCCTGCGCTGCGGAGGCTAGTCGAAAAGAACCCTCATCTTGTTCCATACGTTCAGGAGGTGCAGTTGGTTTTCCAGAACCAGGATCCCAATCAGATGAACCTCTGGCCACCAACGCCAAACCCTGATTTGGCCCATCTTACCCACTCGCTGGCCAGCAGTCCTAACCCACCGTCATCTCTGGAAATCAGGGCTTATGCTAATATGAAGCTTAGGGTTAACAACCCAGGTTGCTTAACCCAATGGCTTACGACATCTTTCTTCTCCTCGACGCTCCTCAACCTGAGCTTGTCGAATATTACAAACTTCCCTCTCAGAGCGATCCAAGTGTGCCGAGCTCTTCGGTCGCTGAAGGTCCGCTCGGTGAATATTACCATTTCTAAAATGGAAATGAAACCTAGAATGAATGGTGGGAGCATTCCGGAGTTGGAGGTCTTGGAATTCGAAAAATCCCAAGATTGCGTTGAGAAACTTGCAGAACGGCGTCGCTCTGGTCCTCGGTACGCGTCTTTCAAGAGGCTCAAGATCATCAAGGCACGTATTGAGGACAACGTGCAGATGCCATTGCTCGAAACAATCCTGAACCAAGCCCAAAGGTCCTTGGAAGAGCTCAACCTTCGCATCTATAAGGGAACATCGCGGCAAGGTGAGCTTTCTTCTAGTTTATTTCAGGTTGAATATAGAATTGAATGAAATAGCACCTTCGAAATTTCTCAACCTCCAGAACCTTCAGCAACTTCGGCGGTTGTTCCTCAGTGCAACGCTTGTACTTTGGAACCGGCGGCCACGGACGGTCCTAGCGGACATCGTCGAGATGATGTCCTCAGTGCCAACCACCAACAATCACCTCGAGAGCGTCTCCCTCGACTTCACCGCACAGGAGACATCTCCCTACTCTGCCGCTCGAAATCAAGATTGGATGTCCCTTGCGAGAGAGATATCCCGTATTTCGTCCGGGAGAAGCATGAGGTTTGAAGTCAGGTTGAGGGCAGCTGGAAGCCATGAGCAAAGGAAAGACTTGGCGACCCGCATCAATGGCGATATACGTCTCTCACTTAATATGTTCCCGCACGTCGAAGTTCGAATCGAATCGAATCCATTGTAGCTTTTATTGTTGTCGGGAATGGTAGATTCGTTTCCGGAATATCGCATTCACTAATGAGGGTGTCACAAGTCGACTAGGTTTAGGACATAAAGAAACGGGAACAGAGGTTGATCGAGACAAAAGTTGATAAAGTTTTAATGAAGGTGGCCCACCGAGTGTCGAACGAGGATCTAAAAGCTCGCATCCACAGCATCCCAATTGTGAAAAGTTGGGTGAAGAGCAGGGAGAATCGGGTGGTTGACACTCCCGGAAATCAGGCCTTATCGGTTGGCTGATCCCGTGTTCGCTCTTCTCCCTCGCAAGAGTGCAGAAAGGTCGATCATTGCCATGTCCATTTCAAGATAGCGAAAGGGAAAGCCAGGGTCATCGGAGACTGAGTGCATACGGATGGGGATGGTAGATCTCGACTCCCAGGCTGCAGAGCGCTGCGTTGACCCTGAACCACATCCCCAGCCACTCCTCGCCACTTCCGAATTCCAAACGTTTGCAAATCCACTTTAATGTTTACACGAGTACTCAAATTCGATCTCATTGATGAAGCCGTCCGTTGGGTCGTTCTTTGAAGTTCAAAGATTCTTTCATGCTACTCGGAAGGTACCCGCACACTACAATCGGGCGACTCGTAGACGCTCAGAAATTAAAAGTTAAAGATTGGTAAGGGGAGGGAGTCCTTACAAGATGTAAGCAAAAAAAGAAAATGTTAGCAAGCAAGACAGCGTATGCCTACAAAAGTAGCCCACCGCGAGGGTCGAACTCGCAGCCTTCAGATAACCCGACCTATGGACGTAAAAGTCTGACGCTCTATCCGATTGAGCTAGGCGGGCTATGAATATGATAGTCGCCTATACCAACAGGTTAGACAGGCAAATACTCGGGGAGCTTCAAAACTGAGACAATTCGCTTGCGTACAGTACTTCCTCAAGTTCGTTCTGAGTTGCGCAGACGACACATCAGCAGAAAAGTGGCTATTTTCATCTTTGTAATGTAGTGAATAACAAGAAAATGCTCAAGGATTCAAACCTTTCCCAGCGCCTTTCAAAACGAGTCAGACTACAACCCATTGTCTCGGACCCCTCTTGTCGACACTTGGGCCATGAATGAGTCGCACAGTCATCAAGCTGCGACAGGCCTCTCCGCACTTGCTCCCAAACGCACCAATCTTCGCCTTTGGTACCTCCTTCCACTTCGACTCAATTTTCGAATCCCACCCATGCACGTATAGAACATGCAGGTTACTGAAAGAAGACAAGGATGCGGCCAGATTATCATCGAGCTAACGTCAACCGGGCATCAGAGATAGTGCGAGGAAGAATCGCGGATATACAAACTCACCAATCCTTCGAAACTGTCGTAATAGATGACAAACTCGACCACCGATGTGCAATGTTTTGCAATGGGACGCGTGAATGATGCATCCACTCCAGCCTCAGGGAGGCTTTCGACGCAACAGATGACGGTAGACATGTTATGCAGGCGAAGGCTCTCACGACCACGGTCGTCTCGAGCAAAAGTTGCCTTGAGGATACCCAGCGCTTCGTCGACAGTACGAGTGTGAGCCCCGAGCTCTTCGTTGTACACAGGGAGATACTTGGGGAAGAGCATCATGGCCTCCTCGCTGCGAACTGGGCTTTCTACGGGCTCAAAACCAACGACGATCAAAGGGGGTTGCGGGACTGCCCCGCTGGTGGGTGGTTGCATATAAGGAATGAGATCGGCGGTCGAGTTGTAGCCGTGCGACATCCAGACGACGAGAATCTCGAGGGTAGGTCGATGGGCTTCGACTAGCGTCCCCAAATCAAGGCGACTGTCGCAAAACAAGACTTTGAGCTTGAAGGAGCCTGCACTGAAGACAGTGTCAGGATCGTAAACGAAATCATCCCAAGGTGAATGGAGGGACAAACCTGATGATACGGTCGAGCTCGTCATTGAGATGCGATGACCCCTTCCTAACCTTGACGCGAAGATCAGTGAGAGAATGCATGTTCTCCAGAGCCTCCAACGCCAAATTAGTTGCGTCCCAAGTCGTGAACCGAGGGTCCTTCTCAACATCTTCGTCTTTGCTCTTCCTCGACTTCTTCCTTACATGCAAACCAAACATCCCGAACTCCTCCTCATCTTCGTCGTCACAGATCCCTTCTTCATCAGAGTACTGTTCTTCATCAGAAAAACCTTCCTCGTCCGAAGAGAATCCATCGATTTCCCAATCCCGATACCTTCCAAATTCAACGAGGAAGAATTGAACGTAGCCCGCCCTACGAGGAGACGCTGCGAGGGTCTGGAGAAGGCGATAGTCCCGGCTGTAGACTTGATTTGCTTCTGATATAATCGCGGATTTATAGAGTCTTTTCTCTGCAACAACCTGGAAGACTCGTGAAACAATGGCAAGCTTGGCGAGGACCGCTGGACCACACTTGTCAGCGACAGCCTCGATGAGCTCCCAGGGGATATCCTTGACCTGCAGAGCATCAGACCCGACAATCTCAAAAGACGAGAGACTGGGTAGCGCACCATACTAGTTGAATCTCGTATTCGTTGGTGAACTGCAAGGGAAAAAGGCCTGCTTCGGAGCTCGCAGGGCAGCACAGAGCATTAAATACCTCGTCAGTGGTTATCAACGACTTAGATGAGCTCCCATAGACCGATCGGATCTAAGCAATAGACTGCTCACAATTTACATAATGTAAAGCCCGTCAGTGGTCATAGTAGAAATGCTGCCAACCCCTGAGGGAAAGAAAATGGAAGACGAGAAGCGGTCATGAGTGCTGCCAACGAGTTGAAATATTGAAGTTTGATTACCACTATTGGCATCTAACGATACGATCTTTCTTCCATTGACACGATATGCGTTACTTTTCGGCCAAATCTTCTAGCCAGGTACAGCCAATGACTCACGGTGGTGCATTGTCAATAAGATCGAAGCTACAGACTTGACAGCAGCCGCGTCCTTCTAGAATGCAGATTAGGTCAAGCAGCACGAGGATAAGGAGATATTTCCGTAGCGACCTCTGTTGAGAAAGCAGGCGGTGAGGAGACGGGTAAAAGGTCTCGGCAGTCGACCTTAATAAATATTTTATTATCTCGTTCTCCGCCAGTCAAGTGTAAGAAAGGCTCACGCCGATTAACCTAAGTGAAGAGAAGCTGGTCAAAATAGCGGCCTGAATATCCACTGTTTACCAGCTCGTTGGCGGTCGCCCAATCTCTGCGGCTGAGCATCTGCCTCGGAAATCTCTTCATCTCTGAGTCCTTCCTGGGTGTCTAAGACGAGTGAAGACCGGAAGATTGACCTTCGCCATTTCCATTCACCATCATCGCTCTTTTGTGAATTAAATCCATGTGATGATCCTTATGCCACACATAAGAGGTTATTGCAGCGTAAACGCCACCCCTTCAAATTTCAAAGTTTCAAAGTGTGGACAATGCTGGGCAATGCCGTTCCAAGGCCGATCCAAAATGGCTCAGTCCCTGTAGCCATCGTTTTGGAGGGCTATCTCATTCTGGTAACTCTTGTCCGCCGCAAACAATCCTTATACCGTTGAACACTAAGCGCTGATCAGCTGGAGGAACTCGATGAGAGGGCCGTCTCGCGGTCTTTTTTTGACGAAGAACGACGCCGGCACTCTGGAAAATCATCGTTTGCCTCTTCCACGATGGTCGTTGCCGTCTTGTTGCCGTCCATTCTCATTGTGACAGATGTTGTGGTCTCAAACCTACATGCCTCGAGCTATGTGATTTTCTCATCCAGTTGAGGCTATTCGCTACAGCATTCCGTGGAGGGATGCGGTGAGTGTTGACTTCCCCTCGCCTCCTCGGAAGGTTCTTTAATCTCTAACTGTATATTGCTGTTAAGATTCTCTGCCTCCTCATCCCCGGATGCATCTCGCTCATTCACCTTTTGGCGCTTCCTGGTCAGATTTCCCAGACATCTTCCGCTCAATTGCCTCATTCCCTCGCTTCGGCGTTCTCCTTGCACAGGAGATTTCACTGGATGGGTCTTGGTTTACGGAAATTAATATCAAACACAAATGTCCTTTTGACGTTATGCCCCGACTTATACCAGGGGAAGCGGCCACTTGCGGCCACTTACCTTGGTAAAGGGTATGGACAGGGTAGGGTATGATGATATGCATCAACAATTCTTTGCGGAAGGTCGCCGTCGACAAACAAACGCTCATTAAAAATAGCCTTTGTCGCTCCAATCCGTGATTGTCCCATGACCCGGCGCTAGCAGCAAAGGGATGTAGCCGAGATGAAGTTCAAGTGAAATGGACGCAGTCCAGAAGGGTTCTACTGTTTGTTAAATCCATATATACAATCTTTTCGTCCTTGGGCCTTGCCACAATCTCCAGCGCTCTATACCTCCCAGAACAGAGACTTATGTACTGAAAGGGAGTGGCAGACGTCAGTTACAGTAAGGACACCGTATCAGAACAGTAATACGCCTTGGAAGGGCTTCAGTTGCTTCAGACAGCGGTGCTCCTCCGTGCGTGACCGCATTGGAATTTCGGCGCTTACCTTGCTGATATCCTATTCATTGTCTTTTTTTTGATACATATCCCTTATCGAGGGCGCCTAAGTCGTGTAGATCCCCACGAGGACCGAGGCAATCGCGGTGGACCCTCATTTTCATTCACCGGGTCTCTTATTCGCGCCAAGATGGGGGGGGGGGGGGGGGGGGGGGGGGGGGGGGGCTCGCGGCATAAAAATGCGCTTCTCAGCATACCTTTGCAAACCAGTGCGCACTCACACCTTCTCCTAACAACGACACTCAACCTCCAAAACCCACTTTCTCTTTGGCACCCCCAATTACGCTTTTGACATGGATGGAGACTTTGTACCCCACGATGCTCTCTTCAAGTGGTACTGGTTGAACGGCGAAATCGTCCACAAGGATGAGGCGGCCATCGGACCTACCACTCACAGCTTGCACTATGCGTCAGCCGTCATCGAGGGCATCCGAGCCTATCGCGATGCCACGGGCAAGCTGAACGTCTTCCTTGCTCGTCAGCACACCGAGCGTCTCCTTGAAGGATGCAAAGATTTCAGGCACGTGTTGCCCTACACGGCCGACCAGATCGATCAAGCCTACTACGACGTCCTTGAGAAGAACGCCTTCAAGGAAGACAAAGTCTATATCCGCCCGATTGCCTGGCGCGATTCCAAGGATACCCGCCCTGTAGGCACGATGTGCTGTACCAATTTCGCCATCATTGCCTTTCCTCTGCCCGACGTCGTCACTCCCCAAGTCACCTCACTCATTCCCAGGGAGATCAAGCGTGCTCCCCCGAACTGCCTCCCTACCCGCACCAAGAGTGCACCCATGTTCTATGCCGGCAAGCAAGCTGTTGAAGAGGCTGCCGACAATGGATTTGACGATGCTATCATCCTTGATCTTCAAAATCATATTGCGGACGGCCCGGCATCCAACGTATATTTTCTGATGGCTGACGGCAAGATACACACTCCCAAAGACACCAACATCATGAAGGGCATCACTGGCATGGTTTTCGAAAAGCTTTTCGAGAAACGCGGTATTGACCTTGTCGTTCGCGATATCGCAGTCCAAGAGGTGAAGGATGCCGTCGGAATCTTCATTTGTGGCACTGCTGTCGAGGGATCGCAGGTGATCAGGGTAGGCATCTACGACGATTACACCCCAAAAAGCGCCAACCACCATATCGACACATTTGACATCCCCTCTAACAACACGGTCAGGACCTTGATCGCCGACTATCTTGACACTGTTCACAAACCCTCTGAGGAAGTCGATATCATTCTCGGCATCAAGGGAGGTCGCGGCCTTAATTGGCGTGGCAAGGCGTGAATG